CTCATCCGCTCTCTGTCTCTCTCTCTCTCTCTCTCTCTCTCTCACTCTCTCAATCTTTCACGAGCCCCGGGGGCTTCAATGGAATGCGCGTCCGAGTTGACGGCATTTCGAGGGAGGCGTCCGCGACCAAATAATTTCTTTACGCGCATTATCGCCTTCTCGATTTTCACGATGTCACCCGTGAATCTTGCGCAGAGATGACGCGACACGTGATCGAATAGTCAACCACCATTGTACGAGACATTTATGTAATATCGATATTCCAGCCGCTACTATGACTTATAAGTTTTAAAAAATTGCACTTCTTAAGGTTCTTGAGGCTCCCTACAAATGTAAAAAGTCTCTGCTACTTCTATCGCTCAGGCTTGCCTCGATCTTATTTAGATTTACATATTTCAAATATAATATATAAATGATATTTTTCCCCACGATAGAGCATTTTTATTTCTATCGGTATGTCTCGTAGTTAAATGTTGCGTCGTAAATAATAAACGATATAAGCATTATTTCTAATCATAGGAAATAATTTCATGCTCCATGTCCGGCTATTACGATTACTATTATTAACAATAAAATTGTCCGAGGATACAATTCCTCTAGACTTCGGAAAATGTTCAAATTCGTAGCAAGTATTTCTGTGTACGAATATTTATACGCGACAATTGTCCTTTTAGATTTATTTTTATTCATTATTAAAAAAGAACCTTAAAATAATAATTACAACAAAACCAAAACAAGAAGAAAAGAAAATACAAAAAAAAAGAAAAAAGAAAGATAACGTATTTGTTTATATAGAGTGACGAGGAAATTGAATGAATGTCTATTGAGTAGAGTAAAATACTTTTAATTATAAATAAATAATTTTCGAAATTACGCGACCAAGTTTTATCTCGACAGTCCTGTGAAACATCAGAAATCTCGCAAAGTAAGTGATATTTGATACAATTGTATCCTTTTTCAACCAAATATTATGAAAGATATAATTTACGCGAGACATAAAAGAATCCAAACATCAAAACATAATATTAAGCATGTCATCAAGAATAAAAAAAAAATGTTACAGTCACGTTGAAATACATAAAAGATAAAAATTTTAGACTGTAAGTAAATAGGATTATCGTTACTTATTTTGCTGATTATTTCGTTATTTATTTGCCTTCGTAAAAATTGAAATTCTTTAATTTACTCACTAAAATTTTTTAAACGATATACACCACATTCTTCTATAAATTATAAGAATTACAATGTTTAATCACGAAAATGAAATTTTCGAGAGAGAAAAACAAAGGATTTTTCGGCGGCGAGCAGAACGTAAATAATATAAACGTGAAATAAAATATGCGATCGCATACTACTGCAATAATTTTAAACTAAAAGAATTTCAACAACAATCTCCCACTAATACAAGTATCTTTGAAATTTATTCAGATTTCACCGTAGAATTTTTATTTAATTAAAAACAGAAGGTACACATTCGAGAGCCCGACTATAAACATTAATATCTCCACACTTATTTGCCGAATGTTTTACAGATGATTGATAGATACTATCGCCGTGGCCGATCTACGTAAAACGAAACGCATTCATCCAGCTCTTTATCCATAAAAAAAACTGCCAACCATTAAATAACTCAATATCCCGTTTATTAGGAACAAGCACAGGATAAGCTAAATTAGAATGCAGGAGGCGCCTGCTCGCCCGCATTGCGACCCAATGAAATGTCGAAAAAAGGGAAAAAAGGGAAAAAAAGGGGAAAAAGTCGATGTTCCTCCCTCCGTTACACCTCGAAGCCTCAAGCAGCTGTGGCCGGGCTCATGTAAAAGCAAACAAACGCCATGACAGGGTTTCGCAGCGTGGGATCGTCGATACCAATTCCTCAGGACATTCCAGGCGCGCTTGTCTGCTTACAGGACTATTATGACAAAAATTTTCCTCTTCCTTCTCAGCCTCGTGCAACAAATGCCCAGATTTTTACGTACGTACGCACGTATTAACTTGCGCCACCCTCGGCGCCGGAAGCGGGTCATCTTTTAGTAATAGTGACGAAGGATGTTGGTGCTGATGGCGTTTGCGAGATGATCCAGCGAGATAATATGCGGGCGTGTGTGCGACTAAGCAGCGTTGGTGAAAAGCTCCGACGAGATGCGACGTCTTTGTCTATTTGGGCAACCCTACGTTTTGCATGAAAGCTTTTCTGCCACCTATTCTATGCTACTTTCGTACTTGCAATGTATTCAACATTGAGTATTTATATATATATATATATATATATATATATATATATATATATATATATATATGCGCGATCCGAAACGCGATATTTCATTTGTATGTTTTTTTTTGTCATGTTTTACAAAAGCTAGGGAATAAACATAAAATTTCTAATTTTCATACATTTGTATTAAGAATAAATTTAAATGACAATAACATTCTAACGAATTTCTTGTATGAATGAATATGTCTTACTAATAGCTTGAGTGACGAAGTTAAAGAGAAGGGATAAAAAGAGATGTAAATGAAAATTTATTATGCGATAATGATGCTAATGCTAATGATAATGATGATAATGTGCGTGATTGGAGACTTTAAAAAAATTTTGCATTTTCATTTTAATAAAATTGTGTTTTATCGATAACACGATAAGGCTCATTTGACAAATTTGATTTTTCTCATTAGCGAAATGCCAATGAAAATATTATAAAATAATATATTTCTCTATCATAGTTACATAAAGATCTATAAGCCCACAATATTTATTACAAGAGTATGAAAAAAAAAAAAAAAAAAATTATATTAATTCATATTGTATTTCTGTCTTATATTGTGTTTGGCCATGAATGATAAAACAAAATATTATATTAACTCTTGGAACTCTCTTATATTGTTGGATCAGTATGGATCCTTTAGTATTAAGCTTATATAGTCCATGAGTACTTACAATTTCATGTGCACAACGTATAAATATACTTTTGGATAAATTTGCACGAAACTTTGATCCAATATACGCGTGTTATCCCGACATTATAAGTAATATTATTGACAAACTCACACACGCACGCACGCACGCATGCACATATATATTTCTTTTTAATTAATCCAATACGTACATTAAGCACAGTTTGTTGATCAAGAACATTTATAAACGCACATACCTTGGCACCACAAACAAAATATCGACGTTCTTTGATTTTTTATTTAAACTGATTTATAGTTAAATATTCAGGATAATTTATAATTACATTAAATTATTTACAATTTATTATGAAATACTCGATTACCCAACACGAGAATTTAAATCTTTACTCGACAAAACAATGCACATATATATGGAGTAGAGTACGGGAATACCATGTGGTCCACCAAATATTTCTCCATAATCTATATCCGCTTATTATGATTTATCATTCGTTACATCACATCATTCTACAGGCTTGATTATACTCATATTGACTACTTAGGTTCTTTGTAATATTTTATTATTGACATGACTATTTTACTTTTTAAATTTCATTAAAAATACGAACGTCCATGTCAAGCGAAGTTACGAGCAATATAAATCAATTCGTCAATATTAATCTAAATCAGTATGGCAATGTTCCTAAAAAACTAGATAGGCATTAATTGTAACGTCTCCAATTCATACTACTTCTTACAAAATCATATTAAAACAAAAACAAAAAAAAACAAAAAGCAAAACAAAAAGAAAAAAAAGAAAAGCCAAACTACTCCATGGGAATTTTTTTCATGGGAAAAGAGGGAAAAGTACGTTTCTCAATTTTGTCTTGTATTTTAAAGTATCTTAAATTGCTTTGTCAAATCGCTCGTTCGATGCATATAAAAAAAAAAAAAAAGAAAAAAAAAGGGAAAAAAAAAAACGAAAGAAAGAACAGTCACGTATCGTAAGTAACATCGAACATTCCTCAACTAACGTGCCGCCGCGCCATAGATATGAACTACCTCTTGCGGCATCGGTGACAACTCTTACGTTTTCCATCGCGACAGTTACCTTTCCAATGAATAGATGGAAAGGCTGTTTGACGTGCGACCTCTCCCCCTCCCAGAGGAGCAATAGTCACCGACTGGGTGGCCAGTTGCGGACGTCACGGCGTGTCTCCGATAAAGAGTGGACGCTGTCTCTGATTCATCGATGCGCTCATGTGAATCAGCCGATGTTACGAATGAGCGGGAAAGAGAGTGGGCGGGGGGTGGCGGCGGCTTATTAGGATGGTTGATTGATGATTGTGCTGTGGGGTTGGGAGGAGGTTGGGAGGGGGTTGGGAGGCCGATGAGACACGTGTATGTGAGTTGGTTGTTGGTTGCACGGAGATGTTTTAAGGGTCAGGTTGATTTATGCACAGTAGAAGCAGCGTGTCGTAATGGACGAATGACCTTGTGACTTTTAATCACAGTCCTAACTCGGCGTTCATTTATCCGCGTAGAGGAAGCAATAGCGGCTCGTTCATAATGATATTATTCGTAATAGGGGAAGAAGGGAAATAAGAAAAGGAGATG